TTCTACCTCAAAGTCTTTACTAAAGTTAGGGAGCATATGCCTTCCCATGTTCCTCGTGCTTCGTAATGTCTGGACATGTGCAAAAAGGAAAGTCTTGAATAACAATTGTGTACTCTCCACCTTTTGTTTTGACTGTGTACTCCTTTGCAAGCGTAATGATGTACTTTGTGGAGAGAATCTCACACTCAAGTGTTTGAGCCAAGTTTAATTTACCTTGCTTTTGCTTGGAGACAGTACTAATAAATTTAACTGCCTTACCTTTTCTCGTTGGCCTCCTATGCATCTCTGTAGGAACAATCCTGGTTTTATCACTTGTGTCTCCAACTCTCCTTTCAAGATTGAAACCAGAGAGCAACCCATTAGCAACCGGCCATTCTTTAGGTACTGCATCAGGTTTAGTCACTATAGTGTCTTCAAGCCGCTTTATATGGTTGACATTAGTGTTGGAGCAATATAACCAACACCATCTTGAAAATCCTGCTTGCTTTCGTTCCCCATGGAAACATAAGGCTAGAACAAAAGCAGACTTGTTACCACGGATCCAAGCCCAACACTTGCCCCTTGGAAGCATCCCTACACACCTTACATTTGATTTTGCTGGCACTTGACGGATTGCCCATTGCTTCGGCTCCACGCTACGATAAGCAATTTCAACCTGCTGTGATGCACTTTCTTCATCAGCCACTTGAGGTGGCTCGGTTCGGGGGTGATGTCTTGGAGCAGAATGATACTCAACATCAGGCATGTGAGAGCTTTTTGCTCCAAGATCTATGCCAACATCTTCACCAGCAAAGGAAAAGTGACGCTTTGAGCGGACAGTCTTCATATCACCAATAAAAGCCCAGGGAGTGTACTCTATAGATGTGCCACGAACCACTTCCTCCACTGCAGTTGCCACTGTTCATGCTAGTGGAGTCACTTTCTTCTTCATCTGATCGTGTAACATCTCAACCGAAGGTCCTGTTCCCATATATCTTCCTTCCTTAAATGCCAAGTCTTTTGAAGACTACTCTACAACGTGTATCAAATTTGATAGACATGCTTCATATAGACTCATCTTCCCTTTCCCTACCTCAGAGGAACGCTAACTTCAATGTTTACTTTTTGAGAGATTCACAGTTGGGGTGTATGCAAGATCCTCAAGTGGTTGATCCTTATAAAAAGATGATATCAAAAAGCAATAAAAAAGTGGAAAAAAAGAAAAACCAACTTGAAAAGAGTAATGTCCCTATTGGAACATTCTGACTTCCCACCACCCCAACCACGACTCAAGTTGTGGTAGACAACTTATGTCAGTATGGCCATCTTCATGCCACCACATTCGGATCTTGTTTGCTTTTGCCTCATGCTCTTCTTCAGAAGGTGTAGCTTGCCATTGTTTGCACAACTCCTTAAATGTTAATTGGAAATCTGGCTTGATAAGGTGGCAGTGTTGGTTTAGGCTCTGAGCCCAATAGAACTCACAAGTCCTCTCACAACCTTCTAGGGGTTGACCATTCCCAAAGACTGCTCGGACACCATTCCAATTAGCCCCAACCCCATCTGCCATGAAATTGTGAAAGTTGGTAGGCTTACTAGTCCGTTTTAATACAATGTCGGAGAGGGACTTCCAAAATATTTCTTGAGCCATCTGGTCTTGTACTTTAAACTCTGCTATTGCAATTTTCAAGTTACAACGTAATCTGTGAAAAGGGTAATGCTTAAAACCATTTTAAGATAATGAGAAAAAAAACTACCTTGGGTCATACATATGAGCTCCCATGGTTGTCCAACTCGCCACCCGCTCCATATGGTCAAAATGTACCCATGCATTAGCAAGGTCACTCAACCCAGACATATCCATTTGGGAAACAAGATCCACACCAGAGGCGGGGCCCATGGTAGACATTTTGAAAACGAAGAGGCGCTCTTGCTCACTAACAACTTGATCTGGAAATAAACTCCCATGAATAAACTCATAGGGACAAGTCCGTTTTAGTTCAAGGATTGAGTCGATTTTTGATTGGAGTTTCCCCTCTCGAGATTCACATATCCAAGACTTTATCTTTAATAAAATAAAATATAAGAGAGATATTATTGAAAAGTATGTAATAATATTTTCATACCTTATGAGGCTAGTTGCAGGTTGCATATGTTGTAGTAACTCCCGCAAGCTAGTCTCATCCAGTTGAGTATTCTTGTAGTCCGGATCAAGTAAAGTGCTTGTGATAAAATCCTTGAGCACTATCTTTTGAACATGCTTTGGAGTTGTAGATGAGTTTCTCACAGTCTCTATCTGCATTGCATCTTTGAAACGGTTGATTGAACTCCTTTGTATCCCTTCTTGCATTGGATGTGTGTGCGTGCCAATATGTACTGCAGCTCTACCAGCCTCTCCATCTCATGGAAGAAAATAGTACATCTTGGCCCCGCAGATGGCATGACATAATGGAGCATTCTTGCAAAATCGACACTTGAATCCAATACCAATGGTGTCACAGATGGGAGGATTGGTTGCAGATCCTTAAAAAAATGTGGAGTTTTTACCGCACTCTCGATTGCATGTTTTATTCACACAATCCAAATACCCACCACAATGAACCATGGACACTGTGCCTTCGAAATGCTAGAAATATGTGGTCTTGATCTTGCACTAGTTGTGGACGTCTTGCTTCATTTCCATCCCCTTTTGTTTTGAGCTGACAAGAGGTGGTAGTTCAAAGAAGATATTGCCATTGTATGTAGATGGGAGCTCACTAATGGGCCTATGCAGAAAGGAACGCACGTCGATAGAGAGGCGGGAAAACTGGAAAGCATTGCAAACAACTTTGAATATCTGTAAAGTTGGAGTTTGGAAATTCTTGGCTCGCACTAGACTAAAATCTCCACTAGAACTAAAAAAGGAAGAAATGATGACGACTGACTCTTACTTCACATTCACTTTGGTAGGATCGCAGCCTCGCACTTTGATTGAAGATCCAAAAACTCGAATCTCCTTCGACTTGGAATGTTGCAATTCCCAATATTGTCCACCTTCACCTACACCCGAAAGAAGAAACTCCGATCGTTCAACTACACCAATGTTGTTGCGAATCACAGCCTCCAATGAAATAGAACCGAGAAAAAGATCGAAACGTCGGCAAAGAAAACTTTCTGAAATAAAACTTTGGGAGAAAGAAAGCGGTGGGTGATCTTGGTAATGCAAAAGGAAACTCTCCATTTTGTTGCCTTTAGGTTTTGGAACTCTAAACTTTTATAAAGAAATGTCACCTCAAACATGTGCTATGCCATTATGTGAAAAGAAAGGGCGATTTTATTCTAGGATCTAACATTGAATAATGTTGTTATAATAAATTCTGTATAAAGTATATAGGACTATGTTGTACAATATTAAAAGTCTGTATATATTGAATTCAAAAACATGCTCAAATTTATTATATGGACTAACTTTTGGTAGAATGGAAAGAAATATCACGTCAAGCATGTGCTATAATATAAAAGATAGGAATAATTTTATTCTAGGATCTACCATCAACCAACTGTTGCCAAACAAATTAAATATTGTACATATTTTCAGTACTTCATTAAAGCTAGAAATCATCACATTCTTCTGAACTCATTTAAATTCCATCTTTGTACTACCATCTATCACCTATAGTAAATTATCTATATACATTACTTTGGAAATACCATCTTACGATTTAATAATCTTATATTTTCTGACAAGATGCTATTACTTGTGAGAAACATATAATTCTCATTTATAATTTCGTACTGTGATCAATTCAACACATGCGTCTGTGACATTATTTCCACATTATGGCATAGTCATATTAGAGCACACCTCCATTCTTAAATTACAACTCAAAAGGACTTTGTCACGTGATCAAATTTAGGATGGAATAGAAATTATACATTGCTAGCAAATATTTGCAGAATGTAATGAAGATTTACTGCATCCATGATGAACGGCTGTGATGAAAGTGAGGTTAGGTTTAGAGCAGCTGCCGGCATTAGGGTTTTATAGAAACTAAAGTGGGAGGTTGGGAGTGACTATAGGATCCATCGGCGTCGAACAGAATGCCGCCAAAAGTAAGTTTTTTACTCCTCCACTCCCTCTCCTCCACTCCCATGCCACGCCCAACACCACCGTGCCCACGCCACGCCCATGCCATGCCATGCCCAGCGCCGCCACTGCCTAGGGCCACTGCTGCACAGCACCGCCACTGCCCAGCACCGTCGCTGCCATGACCAGTGCCACCGCTGCCATTGTTGGTCCCGACCGCGGTCGGCCTACACCCTGACCGCCGCCGACCGCGTTCGGCCGACCACGTTTGGACAGGTCCGTTCGTGGAAAAAAAAAATGTCGGGAAAAAAAAAAAATGGTGATCGTGCTTCGCGCTAGATTTCTGATGCTGCTGCGGCAAGGAGGGCATAGGAGCTGCGTGCGTACCTGCCTCTGTTTTCGATTGAGCATGGAGCAGCGCTGAGGCCTCACAAATCAAATCGCCCAGTCTGCGATGCTTGAAGTTTTTGCCCTAAAATGAAAATTCAGTGATTCCAGAGATTTGATTGTAGAGATTCATAGCGATTCTGGCACAATTGAGCGATGGCGCCCGATTGGGCATGGTCCCATGTTACCAAGCTCACTCCTTATGCTTCCGGCAAAGGAGATGGGCGTTGGAAATGTAATTATTGTGGTAAAATGTATGGCGGTTCACCGAAACGCATCAAGGTGCATCTTGCTAAAGTTTCTGGGCATGATATTGAAGCATGTAGTGCTTCAAACGTTCCTCTTCATGTTCAGAACCAAGCTCGCCGAATGTTTGTGGAGCAAATTGCAAATGCCCCTTTGTCTTTACCTTCTACAGCAAATCTACAGAGTAGGCATTTTGATGGGGCATCTGCTTCTGGAGCTGGTACACAAAGTGCTAGTCAATCTCAGCCTATGAGTGCTTCTATAGGCCATGAGGGATCATCTGTTGATCGAAAGCGAATGCGAGATGGCAATATTGAGGAAATGCTTGATGATGCAAGAAACATGAACTTAGATGATGCGATATCAAAGTTCATTTTCTTGAATGCTATACCATTTAATGTTGTGAAAAGCTCATATTTTCATGCGATGATCGCAGCCGCTTGTAGTGCTAGACCTAGTGCTGCATCGAGGATTCTTGGTTACAAGAAGCTTCGTACTACTCAACTCACTCGTCACTATACTTTAATCAAGGAGAAGTTAGCTCCCTTTCGTGATGGATGGGCTCGGTTTGGATGTACAATAGTGACTGATGGATGGTCTGATATAAAGAGTAGATCATTCATAAATTTCATGGTTACCTCTATCCATGGCTCAATATTTTGGCAGGGTATTGACACCAAAGGAGAAGAGAAGATTGGTCTTTGGCTTTGGGAGCAACTTAGACCCATCATTTTGGATGTTGGTGTTGAAAATGTTGTTCAAGTCATCACTGATAATGCTTCGAATTGTGTATCGATGGGGGAACATATGAGAGAAGAATTCCCCTTTATCTTACACAATCGATGCGTGTGCCATGTTTTGGACTTATTATTGGAGGATATTGGGAAGTTTGATTGGGTGTCTAAGATCGTAAATGACTGTGAGAAGATCGTGAAGTTCATAACTGAGAAGCCGATGTTACTTGCTTTATTTCGAAAGTTCTGCTCTAGAGAACTCATGAAGCTTGCGAAGACTCGATTCGCTTACATCTTTCTTATGGTCAGCTAGCTCCAGCATGAAGATGTTTTCCCGTGCCTTCGACGATTCATAGTGAGTGCAGAATTTGAATCGTCGAAGTGGTATAACACAAAGGATGCCAAAGATGTTCGTACAACAATTTTCAATGATGAATTTTGAAAGAATGCTTCAACTTTATTGGTTATGGTAGCTCCTATTTTGAAGGTGTTACGTCTTGCAGATCATGAGGGCGCAACAACAGGATTAATTTATGAAGCAATGTATTGTATGATTGAAGGATTGGAGCTTGCAGCTCAAGATGGCAAGCTTGATGCAGATAAAATTGATGCAATTAAGTGTGTCTTGGTTGAAGACCAACATAGATGGAGAGCTCGATGGTTTATGATGCATAGCTCTATGCACAGCGCTGCACATGCTTTGAATCCTTCATACCTTGAGCAAGACTTGGATGCTGAGGTAAGAAGTGATTGGATGAATTATTTATCACTCTATTGCTATGGGGACACTCAGCTGGAAGAGAAGTTAGATGAGCAATTCAATATGTTTCGACGAGGAATTGGAAGAGCTATCAATCAGGATTTGCCGAAGAGCAAAGCAAAAAGGAAATTCCCAGTGTCTTGGTGGGAATCCTATGGATATGAGATGCCTGAGCTCAGGAAGTTAGCACTTCGTGTGTTGAGCCAAGGAGTGTGCTCTTCTCCATGTGAGCGAAATTGGAGTAGCTGGAACTTGATCCAAACCAAACGACGCAATCGCTTGCTTCTAGAGAACTTGAAGAAGTTGGTTTATGTACACAGTAACACCAGAGTGGTGGATCGTATTGAAAGTGAAGGAATGAAGTTCCTAGAGATTGATCTCGACACAATTGCAATCGAACCACAATGGATGAGGATTGTAGAGATGCAAGCTAGGCTTGAATCTCTTGGTATAAAAGATTTAGCCGAAGAAGATCTTCCAAATGAAGATGTGATTGTTGAGGAAGATGCCGGAGATGTCGAGGGACTTGCCGAAGATGTTGAAGAAGATGAGTAGCAGTTGGTTTGGTTTGGTCTAATGCTTTGGTTTGGTTTGGTTTGGTTTGGTTTAATGCTTTGGTTTTCCTACTTTTATTAATGTGGTTTTACTAAAAATGTTTTTTTTTTTTTCAAAAAAATTTTGTGAACCGTTCGGCCGTTCGGCATTTTCACAGCCAGTCGATAACCACGGTCGGGCGGTCGGGCGGTCGGCGTTCGGAACGGTCGGGACCAACCATGACCGCTGCCCAGCTCAGTGCCGCCGCTGCCGTGCCCAGTGCTGCCGCCCCTGTGCCCAGTGCTGCCGCCGCCGTGCCCAGCGCCGCTGCTGCCATGCCCAGTGCTGCCGCCGCCGTGCCCAGCGCCGCTGCTGCCAAGTGCCCGGGCCAGGCATTTGGCTGGGCACTCCGCCCGGGTAGGCCATCAGTACGCCGGCAAACCGGCACCCGCGCCAAGTGTTCGGGCCAGGCACTCAGCGCAGGGCTGGCAAAGGTGCTTGGGGGCAGGCCAGCCAAGGCACTTGGGGTTGGGCCAAATGCCTGTGCCAAATGCCCGTGCCGGGCATTTGGTGCGTGCCGGCAAATGCAATTGGGGGCGAGCACTCGGCGTAGGGCCAGCAAAGGCGCTTGGGGGTGGGCTGGCCAAGGCACTTAGGGGCGGGCTGGCCAACGCACTTGGGGGCGGGCCAAATGCCCGTGCCAAATGCCTGCACTGGGCACTTGGACTTGGCACTTTGGGGAGGGCCAGTTCGCCGGCGAACCGGCGCTTGCGCCAAGTCTACACCCCAAAGTCCCTGCTTCTTATGCATTTTTAATTTATAATGAGTTTTTTTTATTTTCAGAAACGAAAGCAACTACAAAAAGAGAAGAATTTTGGATAAAAGAGAAGACATAAGGAAGATGAGATTCAGGATGACAATCAAGTTGACCTTTAGATAGAGATTTCCATAGTGACAACTTTGCCGTCTTCGCAACCAAATATCTCTAGTCCACATGCACCCCCATTTTTGCCACACCGCCATCGATGCCACCACCACCATTACCACTACCACCACCTTCACCACCATTACCACCGCCACCACCTTCACCACTATTGCCACCTCTACCTTCATCACCACCATTACCACCACCGTCATCACCACCATTACCACCACTGCCATCATTGCCATTATTACCACCACCACCACCAGCGTCACTACCATTGCATCCACAACCACAGATGCCACTATTCGCAAAATATGGCAGAAACTAACTACATTACGGAGTAGTGTGTGAGACACAAAATCCCTAGGCCCCAAAGTGGAGCCGAAAGGGTGCCATGTGGTAGTGGCCGAAGCGAAAGCCAAACAAGCATAATACGTTTGGACTAAAAGCTCTGACTTGAAAAGGTCAAGAGTGGGAGTGCAACTCCCAACAAAGTGCTTGAGGAACAAGCACGAGGTGAGCCATGAGTGAGTCTCTAAAAAAAGGGACACAAGAGGACCAAAACATGACACGTGGAAGTGTTCGAGATGGAGTCCGAGGTGGAGTCCGAGGTGGAGTCTGAGGTGGAGTCTGAGGTGGACCCGAGATGGACCCAAGATGACCCGAGATTGAGTCCGAGATGGACCCGAGATGGACCCGAGATGGAGTCCGAGATGGACCCGAGATGGACCCGAGATGGAGTTTGAGATGGAGTCTGAGATGGACCTGAGATGGAGTCTGAGATGGAGTCCGAGATGGACCCGAGATGGAGTTCAAGATGGAGTCTGAGATGGAGTCCAAGAAGGACCTGAGATGGAGTCCGAAGTTGAGACTGAGACCAAGACTGAGACCGGGACCGACATCGAGACCAGGACCAAGACCGAGACCAAGACCAGGACCGAGGCTGAGGCCAAGACCGAGACCGAGTCCACGTCCGAGTCTGAGTCTGAGTCCGAGTCCGAGTCCGAGTCCGAGTCCGAGTCCGAGTCCGAGTCCGAGTCCGAGTCCGAGTCCGAGTCCGAGTCCGAGTCCGAGTCCGAGTCCGAGTCTGGGTCCGAGTCCGAGTCCGAGTCCGAGTCTGAGTCTGAGTCTGAGTCTGAGTCCGAGTCCGAGTCTGAGAGGGTGAAAGCCCAAAGCGTTCGTCTCGCAAACCCTGGGGGGTATGGTGAGCTCCAAAAGTATAGTAGGGGGAGGACTCTAGTGGAGCCAATTTGGCCAGGAAAGGCCAGTTTGGACCAGGAAGGCTGCACTCAGGTGTTGGGTGATGGGATAACCATTGGGAAGTCCAAGACTAGAGTGAATACAGACCGGAAAGTGGGGTAGCTTAGTGAACTATTCAAGAGCCGGCTCTAGTTCCCCCAGGAGATCGACTGGCTGATGCTCCTAGTCCAAGTGTGGGTGGCACTACCTACTTGGATACCTGGCATGGCTCAATGGAACCTCGCTCTAAGCTCATGGCTAGAGCACCTAAAGGCGAAAGGCGGGGAGAGTACCTATGAGGCCCACGTAGGGCCATAGTGTTCCGAAATGTTGTCCCAAAGTCCCAGTCTGTGGAAAGGAAGAAGAGTAGCCCTCTAGTGTGGTGACCAAGGACATAGTCACATAGTGAGGAAGTCCTAGAGGACAGTGGGACTTAGTGGTCAGGCCCGTGGGCCTTGATCCAGTGGTAGTGTTGGCAAACATGGCCAAGGATAGAAAGAGACTTGGTGGAGACCAGAATGGAGATATTGGGGAAGGCTATTCCCCATGTCTGCAGGCATCTAAGGATGCTAAGGAGTGGATTTGGGATGACCACTCATGGGCGAAGGGCTCAATCTTGGAGAGATGGGATTGCAATGCAGGTCGTGTTAGACCACTGATGTGACCAAGGTGAATGAGCGTGGCTTAGCGTAACGGGCTCATATGTCAGTGGTACCTTGGGGTGTCGGTCATGGATTAGACATGTGGAGCACTTGGACCAAGTGCAAAGGTTGAGTGGCATGGATGCCATTCTCGGGGCTAGCAAGCCCCAAGTCCTGAATGGGACTTATGGAGGTTGTGAATGAGACTCCAAGTGGTCAGAAGTGCGGTTAAGTGACTAAAGTAGAATGGAAATATTTAGTTGCTTACAACTTGGTATCGGAGCTATTCCTTAGTCTAACTTTTATTAGTGCTCAAATATATCACCATTGATATTGCCATTAGAAGGTCCTAGGAGTGGGCCTATCCTTGAGGAGTAGCATGTTGAGAGGATATGGCTCTCCCCTCAAATTCATGCATGAATTTGGGCGCGATGTGGTGGATAGAAAAGGGCCAGTAAGGGAACGACTTTGGGATTTTGGGAATAGTATAAGGGTTTCCTTAGAGAGTTGAGGATGTGATCCAGATGAGTGTTTGACTTAGCAAACTAGCTGATGGAGTTGTGGTAAACAACTATAGTTGGGATCACAGGAAAGATGCAGACTCCAAAACAATAAAAGAGTCACAAGATTACCCTCATGTAGTTGAGGCTGGTGCTCATAAGTTTGAGACCGGAATTGATAACTGTGGGAAGTCAAATACAGGAGAGGACACAAGTCCTTGAAATAGTAGCCGGGGCTACCTCTAATAAATGTTGGAATAACCCAAGGAGTTGGGGGTGTACTCAGAGGATGAGTTGGTATTCTCATCACATGGACAAGTGGTCCTAAGGTTCAAAAGGTTGCCCCAAGAGAACAAATCAAGTGTCGAAGTAACACTTGCAAAGATGGTCCTTGTGAGTAGGACTTGAATACAAAAAGTTGTATTCTAGTGAGCGAGCACCTCAAAAGTAGGACCTCACGGGTTGTCGGATGATAAAGTCCAAAAAGTTGAATGACTCAAATAGAGTCAAGGAATAATCATAAAGGAGTGATGGAAGCATTTGGACTGAGGTGTGTTGTACCCCATGAAGGATGGGGGGGATCATAGGATCCAAGTATGAGAACAGAGGGTATTTCATTGAAGGCAGAATGTGCCATGCTAAAGTTGTGGGAAAGGTGTTCCCCAAAAGAAAGCAGCTTCGGCATAAAGTTGTGTGTAAACACTATGGTGTAGTGCCAACTGATAGTTGGCATAAAAGACAACCGTATTGGTCTTTGGCAAAGATCTAGACATAAGTAAGAAGTGTCATTGAGGTAGGCTCGTGGAGCTGATGGTGTGGAAACACCAAATGTGCCAAGGCGTGTTGCCTTGAGGTCAAGTTGGCGGGTTCGTGAGAACCCCTTCCAAAGGAATCCCAATGGAAATGGGAATGGCATAGCCTAAGTTAGAAGGCATGCGGTTAGAGTGTAGTGACCCAAATAATGATGGAGGTGTGGAAACACTAGCAAAGAGTTGTAAGATTTGACAACTATGAGGCAACTAAGCAAAAGGTGCAAAGTAATTGATTAAATTGGTAGAAGGTAACTATCTAAGACTTCTTATGGGGATAAGGAAGTTAGATATACCTTTACGGGGGAGAAACTACTTATGTTGCGAAATAGTAAGTTAATGTCGTAAAGGGAATGCTCATTACCAAAGAAGGCCATCATTGGGACACCCAAACACTCTAAAACACCAGGAAGTGGTGTTTGGTGTCGCAAGGGCATTAGATAAGGCTCAAGGGACTAAGTCCTTAGCGAATGATGGATAGGAGGTGCTATCCAAATGTCTAAGGTTTCTAGAGATGGGAGAAATCCGTCTACCCGATTTGGACAAAGCCAAAAATCAGATTTTGGCAAGGCTAGTGATGGGCATATAGAAGCCTATAAATAACAATGTTAATCCTAGTGTGTGGGATTATAAGGTGAGCATGCCTAGATTGAGGAACCACTCCCTAAGCTATTTGGTAAATTCATCCCTATGAATATTTGCTAAGGCATGGTAGAAGGTGCAAAGCTATCCTCTTAGTCTGGAGGAGAATAACCAAAAGAAACATGTGAGGGCAAAAGGCAAGTAGTAAAGGGATAGAATCAAACCATAGGAAGCGAAGGGCATAACCTAGGGTGGTTATGCAAGGTGGGAGTGGAGAATCAAATAGGTGCTCGAGTGTGTTGCTGCTAGCAACTGTGATACCATA